TGGTCTTATTCACAGCTATTGTTTCGCAGCAACCTACAGTAACTCACCTCAGTCTGTTAAAGATTTTAAATAACCTCATAAAATTGCAATTTTATAACTAGTTAGTATAACAATTTATTAAATTCAAGTTTGGGAGATAATTAGCATTTTGACCTATATGCCTATTTGTATAATATTTTCCTCTTCTATCCACATATGACTTCGGAAAGCATAATTTGAGCACCTATTAATAAAGTGTATTAAAACAAATTTAATACTTCCTGTGAAGTGTGAATGTAGCTATTACTGTCATAAAATCAAATTAAAAACAATTAAGTGTGTGACCTTTTGAACATCTTAACAGAGTCAAAAACAGTCCTGAATTGAGCCATTGAGAATGATTACATAATCAGAAGTGAATGAATAGATTTTATTTAAAAGGGAAAAAGGAAAATGGGACAGGGGAAGAAATTTAACTGTATTTGGTAGTGTTTATATGATCTATCCTATTATCTGCTTTTGTCATTATTGTTTTAATTTGAGCATTTTCTTTTAGAATTCTAACGTGCAGGAGAGGCTGAGATGAATCACATTACATGCAATCCTCTAATTGACACAGTGCTCAAGCTATTAATGATCTTTTACACTTCAGGTGACTGATTTGACAAAACATTGTTTGGAATCTTATTTGCCAGTATATAGGGATAAATACCACATAAATGGCCTGATCATCTGAACATCTCGTTAGTAGATAAAGATAAGTGTTCAGTTTAATGGATATTCTGCTTGCTTGGCACAAGCATTTATAAGTGGATTTATTTACTTCTTTTAAAATAAGCATGTGTAATAGTAGTTTACCCAGAAACTTGCTGTCTATATTGTTTTGAAATGTAAACCTTTTGTTTGGGTTGAACTGAACTTTTTTTTTTTGTTATAAATTAGTCATGTGAGACAACTGGTTTTTTATTAGCAGGTTAATGAATGAGGGGTGGATGGAGTGGAACAAGCATGGCCTCTTGTGGTTGCTGAAGGAACAACATGTGGCACAGTTTGGCTACATACGTCTGTAAAAAGTGCACAGAGTCTGAAAATAAAGCTGCTGTCTCATCCACAGGCATTCCTTGGCCCAAATAAGTCTGAGTAGTGTAAGTAGGTCGGCAATCTTTTAACAAATCTTTTCCAGGCTGCGTTAAGACACAGTATTAGGTTTAAGGGTACAGTCGCACTGGTACACAGCTGTAGAGGATGAAGAAATAATAGTACTGGTCTGTTTTTACAGGGGGGCATAAATGATTGCAGGAGAGATGATTGACATGAGATTCACACTAAAATTGAATTTAAACTAAATTAAACACAAAAAAACACTACAAATACCTTTTTGCTGCTCAGTGAACAGAAGAGAAAATAAATCATTTTTATTAAATGCATTTATGTTTTGGGGCTTAAATATGGAGGATATTTAGGGTAACCAATCAGGCGTTAGGATCCGCCTACCAACTTTGGTGGGCGAGTTTGACAGATAAAATAAATTCATGAAGCAATGCAACAC